AACGCAGCTTCAAATACAAATTTTTATGTATATTAATTTATTTATTTTTATGCACTATTATAGTTTTGGACAAAATATGACGATTATAAAACAAGGGCACTAAAATATTTACAGAGTACAATTGGCGCTTGTATAATAAGTAATAAGTTGTGAGCGCCCTGAAATTTGGTCGTCCTGGCTCCGATTTTCAAAATAGTTTTTGGGGGAATCGCGCTATTTGTACAGAATTTGGATTCCAGAAAATGACGTCAAAATAAATGTGGAAATTCTTAAATAAGAATTAAATAAATACAAATGTGTACTTACGTAGAAATGTACTTATTTCTATTGAATATTTGATATTGGAAAATCGCATGTGGCAAACATATTGAAAAATAAGGAAAATTTACTCTTACAATGACAGTCAGGTATTAATCCGAAATAAAAAGTGTTTAGATTATGGTCAAATATCATGAAACTTGACAGACTGTGTGTGGAATGGTTTTCAAACATTCATTCCTAAAACATTCCCGTGTCAGGACCAATTGTTGAAGAAAATACAATACAATACAAAAGAAATTGCAACAAAACTGGTAATGACAAGCTTTGTTGCTTCATATGGTTGGCTACAGAAGTGGCAGAGTAGATACAATATAAGCTTTAAAGCAGAATGTGGGGAAGCAGCCGATGTTTGTGAAGAGGATGGTAAGAGAAAGACTGGAATTATTGTTCCTAGCAAAGATCTGTGTAAGCATGACAGGCCAGAAAAAAGTTTTATTGGTTATGGGAAAATCAGTTAGATCTCGAGCTTTGAAGCTAATTTTCTCTTATCCTCGCAAAGTTGAGTTAGATAACATGAAGATATTATCTTTTACCTCCAAATACAACTTCAGTATGCCAGCCGCTAGATCAAGGATGTATATATATATATATATATATAAATATATAAATATATATATATATATATATATATATATATATATATATATATATATATATATATATATATATATATATATATATATATATATATATATATATATATATATATATATATATATATATATATATATATATATGTATATATATATATATATATATATATATATATATAATTAAATTAAATAATTCGTGCGGTGAAAATCAGTATATAATAATTGGTAGTACCTACTAGATCTAAACGGAACATTAATTCTAATAGATGAGATTAGGAAATCTGAAGGTATATTACCATTTAATATTTTTAGTACAAACATGGAGTTCAACATAATACGTCTGCTTTTAAGTGTAGGCAACCTAATTAATTTTAGCCTGCTAGCATAAGAAGGCAAAACAAAATCACTATTCCAATGTAAACCTCGTAAGGCAAATAGCAGAAATTGTTTTTGCACGGATTCTATTTTATCTGAGTATATTGCATATTGAGGATCCCATACAACAGAACCATATTCCAATATAGGTCTAACAAGAGACGTAAATAACTGTTTTGTTATATATGGATCAGAAATTCTTTGGCCCACCGTTTAACAAAACCTAAAACACCATTTGCTTTATTTACCATTGTTATTACATGGCTATTAAAATTTAATTTAGGATCCATCAAGAGGCCTAGATCGACAAATGAATCTAGAGTTGATAATGAATGACCGTCAATATTATATTGTAATATCAGAAAAGAAGATCTGGAGAATCACATATGCATACATTTGCTTAAATTTAACTCCATACAATTTAACCTGCACCATTTAAAAAAGCTATCTAAATCGTTTTGAAGTAAATTAGCTCGTTTATCACAATTATGGGAAATGAATAATTTAACCTCATCTCCATACATTAACAATTTCGAGTAATTTATGGAATTAGGTAAATCGTTAATAAATAAAAGAAAGAGGACCGGTCCAAGGTGGCTTCCTTGCGGAACACCCGATGGAACGTTAATCGTTTTGGATAGATACCCTTCAAACAAAACTAGTTGTGATCTATCTTTTAAGTAAGATGATATCCATTTGACTAAGTTGGTGTTGAAACCCATATAATTTAATTTATATATTAGGAGCTCATGATTAACCCTATCAAAAGCTTTACTAAAATCAGTATAAATTGTATCAGTTTGTTTACGCTGAACAAATCCTTTTATTACTGTTGACGTAAATTCAATAAGATTTGTTGTAGTTGAAAGACCACTACGAAAACCATGCTGATATGGACTCAATATAGATTGAATTTTCTGTGAAATTACTGCAGTAATTAATTTTTCAAACAATTTTGGTATGGCACTTAATTTTGCAATTCCTCTATAATTTTACACATTAGTAAGACTACCAGACTTATGTAAAGGTATAATATACGATTTTTTCCAGAAAGTAGGAAAGTGACCAAATTTAAGTGAATAATTAAACAATATAGTTAACGGAAGTGCTAATGTTTCTGAACAATATTTAAGAATTATATTAGGTATACCATCCGGTCCTGGACATTTAATCGATTTTAAACTACGCAGACTATTGGACACATCATGACGTTGTAGAAAAGGCATACAAATTTGATCAGCCTGTAATAACTTATAAGGATACGAATCTTTAAGTTGGCAAGATGTACTGAATAGGTTGTGGCAAAAAAATCTGCGAAACATTCAGCAATATCTGTGCCTGTGACAAATTCTTTATTGTTATATTTCAATACTGAGGGCTTTGAGGAAACTTTTCGTTTTAGATTAACAAAATCATAAAAAGATTTAGGATTGGATTTAAAATTATTTTTAATCTTGTCTAGGTAAAGTTTATACAATCTACGAGACTCTAAAGTATATTTAGATCTAGCAACAGAGTAATTAGTGTAGTCTATTGTTAAGCCTGATTTTTATATTTACGAAAAAGTTTTTTTAAATTTGATAACTCAGAGGTTATCCATGGATATTTATTTGAATTTTTAACTCTAGTGGTTGGAACACATTCCAGTTTAAATCTATTTAGAATATCATAAAATTTATCAATTACATATTCTAAATCTTTATGGTTGTTACACAGGCACACAGAAGCCCAATTTACGGAGGAAATGAGGGTATTAAATTTTCGAAAATTAGTTTTTTTTGTAATTAAGGACAGTTTTAAATGAGTCGGACTGACTTTCTTCAATTACATAACTGTGAGTCATGGAGATATATAAAGTTGGATGGTATATATCTTCAGGAGTGCATATTGGAGGAATTCTGAATATATCAAAATGCTGTGTTATATTTACAAACGCCAAATCAAGAATTTTGACGTGGGAATTTTTCACACTGTTTATTTGATAAAGATTTAAGTCACACAAACTATTTATAACATCAAATGTATACTGGGTACTGTTTATTTCGGATGGCAAAGGAATCAAAGCTTCAGAATCTGGCATTGGAAGCCACCTAATGGAGGGCATATTAAAATCACCAAGGATCAGAATGCGATCGGAATCTTTCATTTTTTCAGTGATTAAATTTATTTCTGATAAATGCTGATTATAAATGTCAAGTGAAGATGAAGGGGGAATATAAGAGCAAGTTACAAACAATTTAGATATGCCCAATTCAATGGAAACACCAACAAATTCTATATCAAGAAAATCATTTAGATCAATTAAATTAGTGGTATATTTGGTATCAATTGCAATAAGGACACCACCACCTTTTTTACAAACACGATCTTTTCTAAATATTTGATATTTTGAACATAAAATTGCACTGTTTAATATAGATGTTTTTAACCAAGTTTCGGAGAAAACCAATACATTATAATTGAAACCAATGCTATCAGTATATAAACTGGTTAATTTTGTATTAAGCCCCCTTACATTCTGATAGCAAATAGAAAATGAGTCATTTAGTTTTTTGGCACCGAATCTGGTCTAAGAGGCAAATGAGCTAAATTATCGAATCTCTCCACAAATTCTTTAATAAATGCCCTAGCAGGCCAAAATTCTTTTAAAATCAACTGTACGAAAATATTTTCAGGCACAACGATTTTGAAAGAAGATCTGCTTTCAGAAAATGCAGATCGGAGCTTATAACATCTCAAAAAGTAATCTCCCTCAATTTTTGATTTTATATAATAGATTATATCATCGGCCGTTGTTTCTGGCGCAAACCTTGTTGCAAATATCATTTTCATGGCGGGAGCCATAGATAATGATCTTTGGACAGGTTGAATTTTGCCAGTAGCAGTCTCGGGACGATCACTAGTGATAAGTGAAGGAAGTGATAATTCCTGTATGTTACGAGTAGATTGTGAGGTTTTCTTAGAAACCTCACTATCAATACTCATAACATCAGGATTATTTACCCCTTTACCTATACCGCTGTTATCTACCGGAACTGGGTGTGTAACAACACTGGCATACGACTGTTCACGTCCAGTCTCAGTTGTTTCAGTGATATTAACTGAAACCGGTTGTGGAACAGTGTTCTCCACAGAAACTATTGCTTTGCGACTAGGCGTTCCCTTAGTTGGTGCCTTTTTCGCAGCCCTTTTTCATTTCTGGCCAGAAACCAACTCATCTAATTCTTGGTATTTCTCAAACAATGTAGAGAAATTCTCAAATCGGAGTGATAGTGAGGAAAATTCTTTTTTCATCGATGTCAATTCCGACTGCAAATCCTTTACAAAATTATAAAAGTCTGCAGAGAGTTTCCTACATTGCACACAACACCAACGAACACCAACATTATTTCTAATTGTGTCTACAACTTTTGCATTAATCCTAGCACATTTTGCATGCCATTGATTAAGACAAAACCAACAGGTAACACACAATTCATCCTCTGCAACAATATTACACAATTCAAAAGGGCACGACATTTTTTATTTTAATTATAATTATTTCTTTTTTAATACACAAGTTACAACTATATTTTTCAAGATTAGATCTGTAGCTGGATTTTTTTTTATTTATTTATTTTATTCTTCTTATAGGTACTTTTTTTGTTAAATCAAATGAAATAAAAATCAAAATACATATAAAAATCAAATGATTTAATGATCTAATTACAGGTACTTTGTTTGTCCCCTACATATGAACTTGCTATTCAGACTGGAGAAGCTGCGGCACGAATGGCACAATTCTGCCCCGATATTAAATTAAAATTTGCCGTTCGTGGGGAAGAAGGTATGACAATTATTGGTCGAAGTAACAGATTTACCCACCTTGTAATGTTGGAAATGTATTATAATTCAAATATTTAATAATGTATTATTTATTTCAGTTGCTCCCGGAACAAAACTTACCGATCACATAATAATCGGCACCCCAGGAAAAGTTTTAGATTGGGCTTTAAAGTATAGATTCATAGATCTAAAGAAGATACGAGTTTTTGTACTGGATGAAGCAGATGTAATGATCGCCACACAAGGTCACCATGATCAATGTATTCGAATTCATAAGTAAGAAACTGCGGCGAATGCAATTTTATTGTAATTAATGACACCTAATTTTAGACAACTCTCGCCCAAATGTCAAATGCTATTTTTCTCTGCTACATATGACAAAGAAGTTATGGAATTTGCTGAACACATTGTCCCTGAGGCAAATATCATAAGGTTTCCAGAAAAAAAATTTATACTGCGTTTTCGGTTAACTATGTCCATTTTCAGACTAAGGAGAGAACAAGAATCCCTAGATAACATTAAACAGTACTACGTCAAGTGTAATTCGGAAGAAGAAAAGTATCAAGCGATTCAAAACATTTATGGAAGCATAACAATTGGACAAGCAATAATATTTTGTCATGTAAGTATTGTACACTTGTTTAAAAATTAAAAAAAGAAGAGATTTCATAAAAATGTTTAAATATAAGAAAAAAAAAGTACAAATTTTTAGATGGCTCGTTTCATTCTACAGTAGAATAATCATAGTAGTCAATGTCACTGAATTCGAGTATGCAATATTTTCGTCAAATCATAAATAAATATATTGAGATGCAATATTAACATTCCATTTTAAAGTGCAAGTGCCAGTGAAAGCGGTTGGAGAATGCAGTCAAGTCTTAAGTTATTGCAGGTGTTAATATACCCTTTCTATGGTGGAGGATCTAAAAATCTCATCACTAAATAGAAGGCTTATAAAGAACATTTTAGAGCACTAGAGTTGAATTTGTATTTAATTTTAGCACATTTGAATTATTTCTTCTGTTATTTTGTTTGCCCGATAGACACTTCACTGTTACGAACATTGATTTTTTCTGACGATAGTATACGCATTTTTTATTGTTTGCTGGCGTGGATGTTCGAACTTGCGACCCCCTAGGTTTCTGGTTTTTAAAAAATTAATTTACTTTGCCATTCAAATTTAATAGGAAAAACTTTCTTTCTGGTAATGCTGCCATTATTTTTGGCGTACTTAGAATGCAGAGGCTAGGCAGTTGTCATAACTAGTAGTGGTAAGCGCTTACCAATTTTGTTGATGCTTAAAAAGTTACTAGTTAAACAAATAATACATACATATGTATAGGATCGTAAGTTGCGTCAGAACTTAAATCACATTTTTACTCAATTTTAATGTTTTCAGGTTTACTAGGACAAATATCAACAGGTCCAAGAACAGTTGCACCAGACCTATCGAAGGCAGGGTCTGATTGCTCTATTCCAACCAATTATTCTCTCCAGTTGGGAGAATCTGACATCAGAATTAATATAAAACGACTTGTATTAGTGATCCTAGGCAAAATGTTTCTGGGCTGAATCGAAAAATTTTTTTTTGTTATTTTGGTTCGATTGAAGTATCTGACAGACAAAGGCGTCTGAATGCAATTGTGGTCGTATTTATTATTATAGTATGAACATATTTTATGTACCCATGGTACAATCAATAGGTACTTAAAACACTTATTGTGATTGGAATCGCAGTACAAAAGGTAAACAAAACGTTAACAACTTTTGACATTTCATCTGAATTTGAAAATCTGATGTAACAAATTTATTACAATTTTCGTTACAAACCACTTTACGCATCCTTTCCCCTATGAACATTATTTTAATCGATTGATATTAGGTATGTACGACAAGCCGATATTCCCTCATGTCAAATCACAACTGGTATGAACTGCCAAGTGGATTCTTTATACCCAATATTAGGACGGACGATATATCGCGAATGAACCATTTAAAATCTTTTTCGGAACTCCTATGAATTTAAGACATTATCTATGACGACCTTTGGAACTATAAAATTTGGCAGTATTCCAATGATACGCAACATAAGTGATTTGCACCGTGAACCGATTTTGTATGTTAACAGATTCTGTATTATATCCAATGTTAGGACGGAAAATATAACGCGAATCAACCATTTAAAATCTTTTTCAAGTTGACGCGGAACTTCTATAAATTTGTTCTAATATATATATATAGGACAAAAATAGGGAAACTTGACTAAACGTTCATTGAGACGCATAGCACCCAACTCGGCTGGAAAATGACTAAACGATTAAATGGGGCTTATAAAGCACAAAGGTCGTCTATCAAAAGTATGGTTTTACTCCTCAGAGTTGTAAACTTCTTTTTCTAGTGTAGAAAATTGAATTTTAGCTTTCACAATTTCAATTTTATGACTGGGGATGTCCATCTCAGTCAAGTTTTAAAATTACCGATGCAAATGCGGCGCACTCAATTCCAAGTCTGACAGATTAAATACTTTATTGGCACTCCTCTTACAATACGATACTGAACAAAAGTTTAACAGAATTTTCTTGTAGTACACAGAAGTTAATCGTCGAATATTGTTAGCCAAACTTTCTGCATTATAATTTTGGCTACAATAAAAACATGTGCTAACCAACCTACGGAATCAATCAGATTTTCAATATGAGAAGAAACTTGCCGCTTTGAATAGTTGGATTTGAAAATAAAGGAAATACCTTGTACCTTATAAAATTGCGTAACACAATATTGTTTGAACATTCTAGTACGAAATTATGGGCATTATAGGTAAGGTGCGAAAATTGACAATATCGGTCCACTCCATCAAGTACCTCCCCCACAAAAGTTCAAAATTTTGAATAAATATAACTCTTATAAAATGTGATGTAAGAGCCAGCTTGTCTTCAAATTTTACACATCACATAATATTTATTAACCCAAGGTCTGGTGATAAAATGAAATATATCGGTCCACTCCTTCTGGTACCTCTCCCACAAAAAGTAGAAATTTTCAAAAAAAAAAAAATATTTTCTGTACAGAAAGATAAACGATAATCCGATTTTGCTCCAACTTTGCAAATCCTAATATTTGCATCAATGCTAAGTCAGGTGCGAAAATGGCCAATATCGGTCTACTCCTTCAAGTACTTCCCCACAAAGGGTCAACATTTTGAATAATTACAATTCTTAATAATAATGTGATGTAAGAGTCCGATTGTCTTCACATTTCTCACATCCCAATAATTTTATTAACCCAAGGTCTGGTGCCAAGATGGAATACATCGGTGCACTCCTTCTGGTACCTCCCTCACAAAAAGTTAACATATATATATATAGTAATATATGTATATATATATATTATATATATATATATATATATATATATATATATATATAACGCGAATATATATATATATATATATATATATATATATATATATATATATATATATATATATATATATATATATATATATATATATATATTCAACATTAAAAAATAAAACAAATTCAAAAGTTATAAAAAATATTGTAATACTTTTATGCGTAAACAAACAAATAGCTCGGTCTTTCAAAGGGTGAACATGCCAGGAAGAGCTGAGCATCAGAAAAGCAGAAACATGCTGAATTTAGTCCGCATCCACCAAGTGATTGTCCTTCGGAGTTATTAACTTCATAGCAAATGCCAAACGTTCAGGAAACTGCAATCTTTTGAAGTTGGGAGGCATTTCTGTTGCAATAAGAGAATTTGAGGTAGCAACATACTTCCCCGTAGTAATCATACCCTCAATTAAATTATTGTGTGGTTTTTATGCCCTCCACCATAGTATAAAGTGTATATTAAATTTGTCATTCCGTTTGTAACACCTAGCAATATACATTTTAGACCTCACAAAGTATATGTATTCTCGATCAGCATAAAATTCTATGTCGATTTAGCGATGTCCGTCCGACTGTCAGTCTATGGAAATCACTCTGCTTCCGAACGAAATAAAGTAGGTTGATACAATATTACTCAAATGTATATTATATCTGCAGGACTTTTGGTATTGAAAATGGACCATGTAGGTTCACGTTTTGGTACAGTCTCCATATAACGGTACCTATCGATAATCGTTACTTTGATGATTTTAGAGACCTTATTCGCCGGAATTGTTTCAAATTTGGTATTTGAAGTTCGTAATATGACAGAAGATTGTCTGTGCAGGTTCACGTCTTCGTATAGCCTCCATATAAGAGTACCTCCGGATATTTGGTAGTTTGATGATTGATGACATTATTCTCCGGAATTTGTTTCAAATTTGGTATTTGAAGTTCGCAATGGATACTTCAGCATAAGACAGAAAATTGTCTGTGCAGTACACTTCTTCTACCTCCCGATATTCGGTATTTTGATGATTTTAACGACATTATTCGCCGGAATTGTTTCAAATTTGGTATCTGATGTTCGTAACAGATACTACATCCTATGACAAAAAACCGTCTGTGCAGCTCCACGTTTTGGTATAGCCGCCATATAATAGTTCCTCCATATATATGGTATTTTGACGATTTTGATGATGCAGGTCCACGTCGTCGTGTAGACCCTAATATAATGGCTACATTCGGCATTTTGAAAAACACAATTTGAAACGGATTTTATTTATTTATTTATTTTTTTTTTTTTTTGAAAATTGCCAATTTCGTTCCAAAGTTCGGCCCGGCCAAACTAAAAGGTTTTTTACTTGTTTACTGTAAGCCTTATGCCATTGCAAAGCCGGTGGGTCAATGCTTCTTAATAAAATCATATCCCAATCTGAAACGATTTCAATATAATTTGACAAAATTTACATTTACACTAAATTCCGTCACACCTTCCATATTTCATTGAAATTGGAGGTACATACCGTGTTTGGTACATCAAATATGTGAATTCGGCCGAGAATATATATGGGAGCTATATTCAAATCTTTACCGATTTCTAATTAATTTGTCAAATTTATTATTGTGTCCAAATTCCGCCATTAAATGAAATTCTATTTCATTGGAAAAGGACATATATATCGTGTTTGGTACATAACATACATGAGATCGGCCGAAAAATATATATGGGACATGTACACAAACCTCAATCGATTTCAATATAATTTGGAAAATTTATTTTTGTACCAAAGTTAGTCACTCATGCCGAATTTTATTGGATTCGGACATACGTTTCGTGTTTGGTGCATCAAATATATAAAATCGGCCGAAAATATGAAATCTGAACCGATTTCAATATGATTTGACAATTTATTTTTGTACCAAATTTAGTCACTCATGCCGAATTTAATTGGAATCGGACATACGTTTCGTGTTTGGTGCATCAAATATATGAAATCAGCCGAAAATATCAAATCCCGTCACACATTTCAAATTTCAATGAAATCGAAAATACATATAATGTTTGGGGAATAAAAAAGGAAATCGGTAGAAAATATATATGGGAGCTATATCCAAATCTGTACCGATTTCAATATAATTTTGCAAACAAATTTTTTAGACAAATTCCATTACACATTCCAAATTTCATTGAAATGTTGCGTACAAAGCGTGTTTAATGCATCAAATACAT